CCAACCGAAATTAAAAGCTGTCCGCGCCCGCCGTGATTCGCGAATTAAATTAATTCGAAACAAAAGACTAACCAGTGACGTCAAGTCGCCATTGTTCATGCCAGACGCGCCGTGTTAATATGGCACGGGCGACTATTTATTTATAATATAAATGTGTGCATGCTGTTTTGGAATTTGGATAGAAGAATATAATGCAGTTGATGGATATGAACATTTCTAGATGAATACTTTATGCCGGTAGACTAGAAGTTTTATAAAAAAGCCAAGCACTGCTCATCGTTCTAGGCAAAAAAGCCTCACAGGAAATACGACTGTCAGGATTAAGAAATATATTCCTCTAGACCAGGGTTTCCTAACCTTTTTTTATTATTTTCATGCCCCCCTTTACTTTTTCAAAAAATACAAAACACGCATAATGTGTAGGTACAAATACCTTTATTTTAATTCTAATGAAGCAACTTCAAAAGTTTAAATAAACTAATAAATGTTTTTATCAAAAAACTTGAATAAAGTAAGAGTAGGTACTAATGAGACACTTGAGATTGATGTTCTGTAACAGTTGGTTGATTTTGTTTTTGTCAGAGCTATCATCAGGTTGCTATCGACATCAAGACGATTCCGCGGTTTAGTTTTAATTAAAACTAGAGCAGAAAAGCCTATGTCACATAAGTAAGTTGAAGAAAAAGGTACTAGTATTCGTAAAGCAAGAGAGGCAAGTGTCGAATTAACAGGCAATCTTTTGATCCAAATTTCTCCAATGTTAAAAGATGGAAGTCATCTTCCATGGACGAATCAGGAATTCTTCCTTTTTTTTTTATACTCCAACTACCACGAAGGCCTAAGGCCTAAACACCCATTGTTTACCGTGGGGCTATAGGGGGATACAGGGGAAAGGATGAACGCCACACGGACTCTGGCGAGGGAACACGTGTGCAAGCAACATGCACACATTCTGGCTCCGCCTACGAGATCCGCCGGGTGGTACCTCCACGTTCGACAGTCAGAGACCGTCTACCACCTACGGACAATCACAACATCTACAGCCAAGAGAAAAATTTCTCCTGGAACGGGACTCGAACCCGCACAGCGCACGGCGACTGATCAAGGAGACCGAAGAGTCTACTACTGCGGCCACCGCTGCTGCCTGCCTGAACTTCTTCTGGTACTTGTGACACATCGACAACAAATGGATTTCTTTTCATGTGCCATATTGGTGACTCTGAATTGATGTATCGATAGTAGAAATGAGAAATGAGGTTATAGGTGAATATCAAGGAGGTTTTAGAAGGGACAGGTCCTTAATAGACCAAATTTACAATGCAACAGCTGTTTTATAATAGCTTTGAACAAAATCTTAGTTTACACGCAATATTTATTGATTTCAAGCAAGCGTATCATTCCACTGACAGAGAAAAATTGTATGAAGCTATGGGACTGCTAGGAATACCAAGTAAATTGATAAGGTTAGTCAAAATGACAATGAACGGGACAATGAATAAGGTCACATTGGAAGGGAAAACATCTAGAGCATTTGGCGTAACCAGAGGCCTGAGACAGGGGGACCCGCTATCTACAACATTGCTTACCTTTACGCTGGAAGCTATTTTACGTGATTGCGGTATACAAACCGACGGAGTTGTTTACTATAGAAAACATCAGTTGATTGCTTACGCCGATGATATAGCAATAATAACCAGATCCAAAGCAGAACTTGAAAAGACGTTTAGAAGGTTAGAAGAAACTGCCAAACGTTTTGGGCTTCATATAAATGAAGACAAAACAAAATACCTAGAAATGAGAGGAAGCAACGAAGGAAGGTTAACAATAAAAAGTAGTTGTAGAGAGTACTGTTTCGAGAAGGTGAATCAATTTGAATATCTAGCGGTCACAATAACAGATAAAGCAGCAGAAGATTTAGAAATTGAAAAAAGAATAGCAAAAGGGAGTAAAGCAATGAGGACTTTAAGCAAGTTGATAAACTCACGGTGGATATATATCAAGGAAAAAAAAGGAAAGGATATATAAATCCGTTATCCAGCCATCAGTATTTTACGGCAGTGAAGCTTGGGTGTTAAGCCAGAAAAACGTACAGAAATTGGAACGCTGGGAAAGAAAAATGTTACGTTAAATATATGGGGGCACAAAAACCAACGATGGTACATGGAGGAAGCGAACTAATAAAGAATTGATGGAGATGTATAACCAACTCAGTATGATACAAAAAAACCCGAGATCAAAGAGTGCGCTGGCTAGGACACGTTTACAGAATGCCGTCTTATAGGAATGCCAGAAAAGTTTTGTTTGGAGAAGAAGACGAGGAAGACCGAAGAAGCAGTGGCTGGAAAGTGTCAAAGAGCATATACGAAGACTAGGCATACCAGACTGGGAGGAAAAGACCAAAAACAGAAAAGCGTGGAAAGGAGTTGTCAAAAAGATAGAAGCCATGGGTTTTCAGGCCTGAAGCGCTGAATTAATAATAATAATAATAATAAATGAGCTTTATTTCGTACCTAAGTAAAAGTACAAAAAAGGCGAAGTGTCGCTAAGATTAGCGTTTTTCAACTTAACCTTAACCTTAACAAAAAAAAATGTATATATATATATATATATATATATATATATATATAATAAAACATTCTACCAACAAAAATGTATCCATAATTCTCAGTAATTACTAAATAATTCACAACACAGAACAATTACAAGAATAGTCCATATTTCTAGCATTTTGTACTCATCATCAGACCTCGACTTGTAGTTTTAGTTTAAGCCTCTTTTTAAAATTAAATAACGTATAGTTTTGGAATGTAACAGGCAGATCATTATATAATTTAATAGCATTGTAGCTGAATGATGTTTTGTAGACAGCCTTAGAATGTAAAGGTATCACTAACATATTCCTATTCCTTGTATTCAGTTGATTTATGTCACTACATCGTGTTAACTTATTATGCAAATATTGTGGTTGTTTGGTAGCTAAGACCTTATGTGTGAGTGTCAATACGTGAAGCTTTTGCATGCCTTTAATCTGCAGAATACCAAATTCCTTAAATTTATGAGAAATATGATCAAACTTTCGTATTCTGCAAGAAAATCTGATGCACAAATTCTGAATACGCTGTAATTTGCTTTGTTCACTATATGATAGAGCCGCGCCATATATACTGTCACAATAACTGATCTTTGATATAATTAATGTTTCACACAGTTTCAGCTTTACTGAAGTAGATGTTATTTGCCTATGTGGATAAAACTGTTTCAAGATGCAGTATGATGACATAACGAATTTACGTGTTTTTTGTATTTTAGTTCTGTGTCAATCCAGAGTCCCAGGTTTTTACACTCACTCATTATAGGAAGCCGGCAATCATAGATTTTAAGGTAAATTCCCGTTTCGATCAATGTTCTTTTGTTTTTTGAGCCGAAAACCATAACTGAAGATTTAGATGGATTAATTTTTAGGTTATGCGAGCACGAGATGTCTACTAGCCTTGTTAAGTCTTCGTTGAGCAATGCTTCTGCAATTTTAAAATCTTTGTGTTGGAAACTAAAATAAATTTGACTATCATCAGCATAGTGATGGATTGTGCAATTATGGACATATTGATGGAAATCCGATATATATAGAGAGAAAAGTAAAGGTCCCAGTATGGAACCTTGAGGAACACCAAAACTTATAGCAGTTGACTGTGACATTTTCGAAGCTGTTAAGACCTTGATTTCTATTTGACAAATAGCAGCTTATCAAATTGACTGCAGCATGAGTAAAACCATAGTAAGACAGCTTATGTAGCAGAATTTCAGGGTCTATCATATCGAAAGCTTTTGTGTAATCCAGTAGAACTAAACAAGTGATATTTCCTTAGTCAAGGTTTCTTATAACATCATCAGTGACATTGGCTAGAGCAGTTGTTGTACTATGGTTTTCCCTGAATCCAGACTGCATTGATGGAACTATTTCATTACTGAAAATATAAATATAAATAGTGGCTTTTCTTTGGCCTATCAACAAGTTGTGCAACGTTAGGGTTTTTACTTCACTTCTTTTATAAAAAAACTTACATTGCAAGTGCTAAATCCCAGTTTGTGGGCCTCTATATGAGTAGTGGACCTCGAAATTATCCTTCCAACAGCGTCACTCCACAGAGCACTTCATTGTAAATAATTGGCACGCCTGTTTTGTGATATTACTTTTTTTCACATATCGTGGCTTAATGTTAACTGAACCAGTTACGTTATATCTTCTAACAATATTTCTCACACTGTACCGCGATAAGTCTAACAAAGTTGCAATTTCTGAGTTTGATTTCCCAGAATTAAAGAATTTAATTATCAGTAACCGAATTTTCTCACTAATAACCTTTCCTCTACCCATTTTGAAAACCTTAACTACCCAGAACTATTTTAAACGTATTCTGACAGCTGTGATTAATAAAAACAATTGTCATGGCTTTTATTTTTCACAGCCACCTATGCGTTATAGACTTATTTTGTATTGAAATGAAAATAGGTTGATATGCTGTAATTGCAACATGTGTTATTTTTATGCTGCAAATTTGATTATATATTATCAAAATATTCATTGTTAATATTTTAAACCTATAACACCCTGCTAAAAAAGTTGGGCCAAGTGAAGTGGAAAGGGGCTCGTATATATATATATATATATATGTTATTTTTAATTGCTTGGAACAGCCGAGAAAAAGATATAACATTTTCAGAAGACACTTTTTGATTCCAAAGTTGAAACGTTGATATGAACCCCTGAATAATATAATCATAATTGCTTATTATAGTGTTGTTTCTGCCATAAAGTTTCAAGTTTAGCTCATTCAAGGGGTCAAATATATCAGTTAAATAAGCCAACCTCCATTGAAATGTGTCATCTTTGAAAATTGTCAAGAAATGTTGTTTTTCTTTGAACTCAACAAAAAGAACTACCTCTTCTTTCACTTCATAGAGGCGAGCCAACATATTGCCTTTGGACAGCCAGTGTACTTCTATATGGAACAGAAGAACTTTGTGTGATTAGAATCGAGATCCTCGCAAAGTAAAGTAAATAACCGACTGTTCAAAGCGCTGCTCTCGGTGTAGTTTACAATCCTTATAACCCAATCCAAAGTCTGGCGTAATTTCTGTGGCAATGTTTTGGAAGCCAAAGCCTGCCGAAGAATAACACAATATGTGCTAGCCATTGCGGAATTTTTTTCCTTGAGCTTTTTAGCTAAGCCCGATTGTACACCTACCATTGCAGGTATGCCATCTGTGCAAAGTCCAATGAGTTTCTTCCAATCCAAATCATTTTTTTCAACAAAATTTGATATTGAATTAAATATACCTTCAGATGTAGTACCTGCTCTCAAAGATTGGGAGTAAAAAATTTCTTCTTGAATGATATCTCCGCCGATGTAACGAACATAAACTATTAACTGTGCACAATTAACGATTTTTTTTTAATTATTTGTGACTTTATGTCTGTTGCAATGTCATCGATTCTACGCTTGACCGTATTATTCGAAAGAGAAATAGACACATGGTTTTATTAATTCTTCCCGATCGTATGAGGTTTCTTTTGCTTTGCTATCACAAAAGCTAGTTTAAATAAAGCTTTGAGATGCTGCGATATACCTACGTGATAACTTCCCGAATTATCCGCTTGAGTGATTCTGCTTTAGAAGAAGAAACCTCTTTCATCTTCTAAACCAGAGTAGGATGTTGTTACTTCAAATGCCTTTCAAGGCGATTGGGCCCCATGCTCAAACAGATTTCTCAACAAAATGTACATCTAAACGTCAAATTTCAAGTTTGTAGGAATGAATGTCGCAGTTGCTCGTCCGCGTCTGGTAGGAAACTTGTATAAACTGCTATTGACGACGCCGGGTTTTGAAACAGCGGTTGACAGAATAAGTGAATATGATATTTAATTTCTAACTCTATGCGTATAAATTAAACATTACATTGTAATGCTATTTGTTAATGCTGTTTGTTTACCTTTTTTGTTTCTTCCTAAAATGCAAACGCTCTCCGCCCCCCTTGACATCTCTCTATGCCCCCCTTGGGCTTTGACTCACCTAAGGATACCCAGTTGAAATAGGCATTAGAGACGCCAAACGGACAGTAGCATTACCAAACACTCTAACTATTGTCAAAGTAGATTCCTAACTTCACTTTTGTGATCTGCTACCGTCCCATAGATGGCACTGGTTCCGTCAAATTTCTTTTTGGATGCTGGAATACAGTATATGGTTTGCTATCTTCAGGTACCATATGCCAGTCAATCACAGTTTGTGAATCTGAACGCTGAAACGCTTGCTAGAAAAAACCAAATGGAATTATAAAAACGGAAGTACAATCGTCATGCACATATGCATGGTGTACTTTTGTGGTTTGTAGGTATTCGTGTCTGATAGAATCTAGACGTTTGGGCTAAAAAGGAGTTGATAAGCGGTGTAATGAGTAAATCGTGTTCGGTAATTTAGAAGAAAAGTAAATGAAGTTGGCAGGGTATAAAATACTGTGTCCGAACACGAAAGCTTAGTTCGATTGTGGCGTCAAGTATATTGACTCCAAAATGTTGATATGTGTATATCAAAGAGCCTTCGCTAACGAACAAGCCTTCGAGGTATAAGGATTAGTGAAAAATATATGCTTTTAGTGTTTAGGAATCTCTAAGAGGCACTATCTTGGGCAATTCATGACAATCTGATGTGTTCTATTCTTTTCAGGGTCCAAGGGATACTTTTGGATCGATGCGACAAAGATGCTTCAACATAATGAATTACGACCTGGCAGAAAATTGTACTTTATGAATAGATTTTTTTGGGCGTTGTGTCCCACTATTCAGCCCACGAACTCAATAGTCCAGGGCTCTAAGGTATGGGAGCTGCGTGGAAAGTCGAGAAGACAAAATGAGTATCCACGTTCAACTGGACAGTCTTTATTTCTTCTTAAGCTTGTCCACTATTCACAGGTTCACAACCCAACTTATAAGTGAGATGAGTGAGTTCAAAAGTGCCTCTTTGCTCTACGGCTATGGCGGTCGGAGTCTGGCTGTCCTCAGTACAGATTTAACCCAACCTCAATTCACGCGAAGCTCTTCGCCTCTAGAAGGTTTCGACCAGACGCAAATTACAATCCCTGTGTCTCAAGAACAATAAGGGTAAATGCGCAAAGACATACACAGTTAGAATACATCCCAGAGCGATAAAGTAACTTCCTGAACACAGTATGAAAACCATAGAACTGTCTTTATTTAATCGTTAGAAGGTAAAGTCCGATGATTTAGTATAGTTAATTTCTCCTCAAAGCTTAAAAGCTGCTCCAAATCTAAGGTTCAAAGCCTCAAACTTTGAATAATTCACCCTTAGTGTAAGAAACGGGTTGGCTCCAGAAGGCGTTCCTATTTTAGCTACCACCAAGGCCCATCTTGAGTGTCTGATTTCATTCTAGGAAGCGAAACGTAATAATTTGAGGAACAGTGTAATAAATAGGTGTATTTAATTTAGACCGAATAAATCCGAGCATCCGGTAATAAAGATCATCAAGTTACACCAGGGGACGAGTGTTAATACCGTCCTCACACCTCGACTCAACTATTTTTGGCTTTATTTATGCCCAAACACAAGCAGTACTTCACAGTCAGCAACTAGTTTAACAAATTATCGGTGCATATCTCACTCTCTACTGACATGTGAAATATAAGCAGCAATTTTTTACAGTAATTTGTAGGAAGTCTCTAAGCAACTAACTAGTCATGATTGATATGCTGGCAATTGGAAATAATAAACAAAAATGTTCCGACACGTTCGGTCATTAGCTATTTGCGTATGGGATTGTTAAAAAATAATGGCTCTATTGACAGTGTAAAAATTACTGCATGGCTGTTGTAATGTATACGATGATTTAACGGTACTTGCTTTCCTATTAATCTTTTCGGAGATTGTATTATCGTTTTTATGTTGTGGGATGAAAGCGGTAAATTAACACTCATGAATTTTATAGTTAGATATTATTGTCTCGAGATATGCGATCACCACCACCTTAACAACTAATATATAAAACAATAAAACTCTTAGCATTGAGCTATATGTACATAGTCTTGAGTGTAGTCCCAGTATTCTGTGGACATAGATCGTCCACATATTTTTAGACTAAAAATAAGTCGATTGGACATCATTTACCTTGACGGAAAAGTTCCCCGTTTGTCCTTCAGAGGAAGTCAGGTTTTCTTTTTAAAACACATTTTTATGGTTGTTTGAGAACCAATAGCCCGATTTGAATGAAATTTGGACCACACATGTTTTGCTAGGCGATATAATGTCTGACTTTTACGAAAAACTTCAAATGGCTTGTGAAGGGTGGAAACTATCCCCACCCCTACATAAATTATAGCAGAAATTTTTGCCAACTTCCCCGTCAATTTTGATTCTTTTATTAGTAAATCTTTTTATTTACTTCATCTCGCATGGTTTTGCATCATGAGGTTCCTAAATGTTTTATAAATTCTTTAAGGGTAGTTAGCGAAGATAAACAAGTGTGATATCACTTATTAAAATTATATTTATAACAGGGAAAAGTGCCAATCTTTCATAAAAGGTGTTCAATATGAGAATTTTTGTTCTTACACATAACAATACGGCGAAACAAATTATAGTCAACTTTCTCTGATATATCATTTATTTTTAATGTATTTGTAGCATTTTTAATCCTGTCCCATAGTTGATTAGCGTTGTCTATCTGAACCTTGTATACCTTGTCTTTAATCGCAAGGAAGAAAACGTGGTAGCCATTGAAGGTTTTCGAACTCCACCAATCCATGTACCCTCAAGTTTCTCATTCAAGTAATTTCTCACAGAACGCCCCAAGTGAGACGAAGCACCGTCATGCATAAAGACATGTATCCTCTCACATTCAGAGGCAGTTTGTTTAGGAAAAATGTATTGTAGAAAATGAAGATAGCAACATTACGGACCAACCAAGGGTTAGCAATAGTTTCTTGATCTCCTTTAACAAGTCTTTATCTATGAGTGTTGATACCTGGACCTTCTTTGACCACTTCAAGAACAGCTTTTTCCATTGTTAGAAGTTGGAATCGACCAATTTCTCGAAATCGACGTTATATCCCAACTAAGAATTACCACTCCTATTAGAGTTGCAAGAATGATTATACAGTATTCCTTACACAGCATTGTATGCTGTAAGAAGATTGGCAAAACGCTCTTAGTACAGCTATACAATCGGAATGGGCACACCTAATAGGACACTTCAGTCATTTAAGAGGTTGTATAACGGCTGCAGGTAACAGTTATACAACAAAAGTGTAAACCTCTTGCAGCCGCTGTAGAACATTTGCGTCAGTGCAAGATTCAGTTTTTGTCAACTATACAACTATTCTGTTACATGATTCTACTTTATTGCAACCAAACTATTTCTTATGTATTGTATAGGGGTATAGTCGAAGTGAAGAATATATAACTACCACATTACAGTCATCTTGTTTACTTTATCGGCCATTGTGAATTTCATAGACATGATAAACTTCTACGCCTTGATATAGGCTATTGAATTATTTGCGCAGTAAATTTTATAGTGATTATCTTGCAAAGTAGTTACGCAATTTCTACGGGCTTCGTTTTGATTCAAATTTTAATAATGATCAAAAGTATGTCTAGATTTTTAAGATAAAGAACTGAACTTATCTGCGCTAAATCTTCCACAAATATAGGAATATTTAAACGCAATTAAACTAATGCTTATTAGAATATTTTGGTGTTGTCTGCAGGTATTGTACAACAATTTGACAAATCTCTGAAATGAAATACGGATAGAGTCGAATGATTTACCCAGAGAATTTGTATCAGATCTATATCTTCTGTTTGAACATCTTATAAAGCATTTTAAACCAATATGCAAGCGTTGTCTTAAAATATTGGTTATAGCATTTTAACTAAAAAGATAACAGCAGAAAGTTTGGTTATGGTGAAGTTGTATACCAACATATTTAGGAACAAATGTATGCCGAGCACAGCAATTTTGTACTACAAAAGTTGCAATATTGTTGCAGATGTACAGCCTTTAACAGTTACTAAACGACAGTTGTATAAGTGCTTCCGTTGGGAGCAATTTGTTTTCTAAAGTAGTAAATTTGCACAGCAAAACAACAAGGCTCGGGTGTGTTGTATAAAGGTTACCATGGATGCCACAAGACAACTATTTTGACTATCGCGCAAATATGCCGAATAAAATAGTTGTATAAACGTTTATGCAACCGTTCAAAATTTGTCGTATAAGGTGTTGTATAACTATGCTATAAGAATATTTTAAACACCTCATTTTAGAGCAAATATGCTGCAGAAAGCAAATTTGCATTCCACGCAACGTTAAGCCAGCATTTTGATGTTCAGGCAACAACAATAGGGAGCTTTTACGG